TATTAGATTCGTAGGTTAAGCTTTGAAAAATTAAGTCTAACCTATTTAACTAAATAGATCTAAGTAATGGTTTGAACTTGGCCTAAGTCCATTCAGTGGCATAGGATAGATTGGGCTTGAAATAGGTTAGAATGTAAGCCTTTGATAGAGGCCTTAGCATATTCCCACCCCTACCCATGTGGTACATTCAGTTTTAGTGTTGCTAATTTTGAAATAATCAGCAAATTATTTATATAAAAATAAAATATTTTATCTTATTTTAGAGAATTTGTCACATCCAGTACAGACACCAAATAACTTTTTTATATACGAAGACACCAAATAATTTTATTTCCATAAATTGTTATATACCGTGAAATTTTAAAAAATTTAAAATATATGTTTTGTTTTAATTTTTTTTTTCCTTCCGTATTGTAAAGGCAACTTATTTTTATCCATTTTACTTTCTCATGTAAATTTAAAATATAAATAAAAAACTATCTACAATAACTTGTTTTATCCCTCAGATAATTACCTCAGAATTTGTTATCCATGCATATATCATTTCCAGATGTCTTATCCACACATAAATTAAAATATACATAATTGCGTGTTCTATTTTATAATTTTTTAATGTAAAAATAAATTATATTTTATAAATTTTAATTTATTTTATGAATTATCCTTACATAAATTAAAACTTAAACCACAACATTTCCTGGTTTAGAATTTATTATTTCATGCACATAAAAAATATAAAAACACTCTTTTTATTTCTGAGTCTATTACCAAAGCTAAAATTTAAAAACTACACAATCTCAGATTATGTTAATATGCTTCTTTTTTGGCCAAAACAAATTATTTTAATATGATATTATAAGCATATAATGAAAATATTTCCCCCTCATTTTTCAATATAACAAGTCAACTAAATTTTTAAAATATAAATAAAAAATAATTTTTAAATGTATGTTATGATTAGGACGTGCCTTACTGTGATTGACCCTTTACCTACAACAATGTTAAAGCACTTATTTGACCAATTTTTTTTTTAAACAAAGTTCAGTTAAAAGAAATGAAAATGTTACTATTTAAATAATTATTCATGTGCAGTAACCTTTTATTATACCTCACTGTACACATTATGATTGACATTGATTTTAATTTTATATTTATTCTTACATGTCTTTAGTGTAATTGTTTCCAATTTTCAATACAAATTTGTTATTTGATCATTGAGGAATATTCTCTCAATTTGCCAAATTGTGTGGTAGAGAGAGACCACTGGAAAGACAAGTCAAAGATTATTTTGGCCATACGTGCATTAAAAACATTAGTTCAGAGAATACATTGAACGCAGCACTTGGAAGAGACGATGAGACATTTGGTGGGTGGCTATCTGATGCCAGAAAACATTTGGTTTTATTATTTTTTTCCCGACAGAGCACGTTTTTTTTAATAATTATTATTATGTGGTGTGGTATTCATTCCTGTTTTTAACTTGGGGGCTGTAATGTGGCTTGAGAATAAGAACTCTACAACGGATAGTGAACTGGGATTTAACAAAAATTAATAAAACTAGAGAGTCTCTCAAGTTTCAAATTTTTAATAAAACAAATTATAAGCAGAATTTTTTTTCCCGGTTTTTAGACCTGGTGCGGTTGGAATTCAAACAATTACTTTAAGAGGAATTCTATAAATTCAAACATTCTGATTTCAAATTATATTTTTGCCCAAGAAAAACTAAATTTGGATGCATCAGCGATTCAGAGCCAATATTTGAAGAGGATTGGGGAAATCTATTAAGGTTTAAATTGATATTTTATGACCAAATTAAAGAGTAATCTTTTAATATTAAATTAAAATTCATTTTGTTGAAGCATAAAATTCAAAGAGTGTGATTTTTACTAAAAACCTTGAACCATTAGTAATTTATTTTTGAATTGTACCGTTAATTTGGATATTAATTAGTTAGAAATATTAACCATTCATTATCCTCAATATTTATAGCAGAGGACGGAAAAATTATGGCCATTGTTCAAATTCAAATTATGACACTATTTAGATAGGATTATATTTTACTAGATACTGGATAGCTAAGAAAACCCCTTTTTTATTTCGAATATATATATATATAATATACACACATTAAAAAAAAGAAACCTTTGTTTCAATGTTTTGTAGGAAACACAATATGTTCCTTGTGATTTGATTGAATTGCATTTTGTTTTTAGTCTTTATAATTTTATTTTATTATTTCCAGTCATCATAGTTTGATCAATCTGCAATCTTAATCTTTATAATTTTAAAAATATACATAAACAACATGAGATAACACTGATGGAGGTAGTTTTGCTGTAACCATACTAATTTCTTTGATGACACGCTAAAAATATGTTGATGACATAAATAAATTGACCAAGCAAGATTAAAAATAAAAGGTAAATGAAAAAAATATTTTAAATTTGGCTTAAACAAAATACAGGAGATAAGTATATATTAGCAAAAAACTGCGGATTAAATACATGTTAGTAAATTAATTCTGTTAGTGCCACTCATGGTCCTTATATGTATTTTTAAAGCTACAAGAACTAATAGGACAGACGAATCAAACTAAAAGAACTAAGAATAATGAAATAAAAATAGAGACTAAAAACAAACGCAATTAAGTAAAACTAAGAACACTAGTACATGTTTGATTTCAAGTTGGTTTTAAATCAAAATTACATGTAAGAGTGACTTGTCTTAAAATTGCAAAATCATTTTTGCAACGAGAAAACAAACTTGCACTAAATGCATCTCTCTCAAATAAAAGATAATTATTGGGTCCTTTGACCCCCTTTATATAAAAAAAATTATATCCAATTTTTCATATGATTTATACATGTGTGTGTGTGTGTGTAAGTCTCAAGTATCCCTTATTACTAAGTACAAATCATCCGTATTGGGTATCATTCTAAGAGTTTAGTTCACCCAGATTTCATGTCTTAGATCATATTATCCAGTATTTCAATCAAACACAGCGATATGATACTTCAATATAATAATAGTTCGGAGTATATATTAGATAAGTAAATACTACTCCTCTGTTTAAAAATGTAAGACATTTTAATTGAATCTTACCCCCAATAAAATAGTTATCGTTTTATTAATTAACCATTCTTTTCATATTTATCCCTATTAAACCTTACAATAAATATAAAGTTATTATCAATAGGGACACTTTTGGAAAAAAAAACAATGATTACACATCGACAAACTAAAAATATCATACATTTTTTAAGGGAGGAGTACTTTTTTACAACAAAGTATACATGCGTCTGCCTAAAACTAGAATATTTATCATATTTTAATTCAAATATTTAACAGCAAAGACACAAGAAAGTGAATGAGATTAACACAAACAGTAAAATAACGCAGGGTTTGAAGGTTGTATCCAAATCAGGAGGTTAACTAAATGCTTAAGCATAGAAAATACAGAAAGCGAGGCGGGTCAGTAGCCCTAAACAATGTGAAGAAACTACATTGGTGAACATTCACTTTAGCAAAGACTATTATTTAGTAAGCATATACTTACAAATCTAACATGCTAGCGCCTGCAGGCCTCAATTACCTGAAAGAGGCTTCCGTGCCAGAAAGAAATACATTGGTGTGAAAATCTCTTTCCTGAAAATAGACACGTTCATGTCAAGTTTCGGGCTTTCAGGTAAAGTCATGCGCTTAAATAATAATAAAATATTTAGTAGGTAGAAAAATATTGTTTAAAAATACATTTTTCATTTTCTTCTTAAAGAAATACTTTTTGGTCCACCAAGTATTGTTTAAGATTCATTTTTTCTTTTCTTTCTTCTTTCTTTCTTTTTTTTTTTGGGGTAGGGGGTGGGTTTGGTTTCGGAATTGTCTCCTAGTCATGCGTATAGGTTACTAATCACAATGAGAGAGAGCATTGTCTGAAGTTATAACATAGAACTGTTTAGATTTTGACTGTCCAACAGCCTAGTTGTTCTTTTCCCTATTGTTTTTTAAAAACTGTTTTATCAATTTAAAAAAAAATTTTTTTGCGATGGTTTGAGAGAAATTGATTAAATTAACTATATTTTTCAATAACTAAATATAGTGTGCTTTGAAAACCAGAAAAATAAAATGAAAATAACTTTAAGATGTTTTCATTTTTTATTTTTAAAAACAAGAGTGAACAATTTTGAAAACAATTAAATCCAAAGCACATATCCATGAGTTTTTTAAATTTTTTTGTTTTTAAAAATAGAAACCAAATGGATTCAAATTTTCTAATTTATACGTTTGTGGCTAACATCCAAAGTCTGCTTCTTTTATAATTAATCAAAATATTAAAATTTCTAAAAGAGGGATAAAAAACTATCGTCATCAAATTCTGAATGGGACGTTTGGTGCAAAATGAGAATGAAAAAGAGAATGAGAATTGGAAAGTTTTTTGCCATAAGTATATGAAGCTCCCTTTCTAAGGAAATCATTTTCCGATCTATCAAACACAATAAAAAGGCTTTCTCTCATCTTTTCTGTCCATCAAATCCATTTTCTATGTATCAAACGCAGCCTAAATTTAATCAGCAGTTCAGATATGTAACCGATGGATTAAAAATAAATACTTACTTGCCACCTTCAACAAGTCCCTCCGCAGCCTTTTCTAGAAATTGTTGAACCCTGAGACTTCCCTTAGGTGCTAGTCCGAGATACTCCAGAGTCTTGACCTAGAAATAAATTCAGAGAGCCAATCAACCAATATACAACAACAATAACAAGCCTTATTCTACAGGTGGGATTGGTTATATGTACTGTGTGACGCCATTATGCTATGTCAACACTATCTCAAAGACATGAAGGAATGTTAGCTTTGATACCCCCCGTATTTTTTTAGTTTCTGCCTATATATCTCTCTACTGTGCTAATATTAAGAAATTTTCATATCGATTAATTGGCTGGCTGTGATGAAGATTTTAAATATTAGCACAGTAGAGAGAAGTATAGTTTGCGAATACTTACATAACAACCAGCCAATCAACCAATGCAAAAATTTTAAATATTAGCACACTAGAGAGGTACACAGGTAGCTCTGATCAATAAACTAAAACCGATAGGGTAAGTATCAGATCTAACATACGTGTCTTCGTGAGAGTACATGTATCCTATAACTTTTAGCAACATGCAGACATTTTAAGAATACAACGGTGATCAGTAGTATTACCATGTTTCTGGTGAAAAGTCGGCCAACGTATGTCAGACGGAAACTACTCATCGAGAAGTGATTTGTATCTAATGGCAAGTACCAAGGGATAGCAGAATCGACCGCAATATCTTTTTCCCAGATGATCTTTGTAAAAGGAACGAACATACCACTCAGCCAACTACATTGTCCATCTTATAAATGTTCAAACAATAAGCTTATGGTAACAACAGGCGGGTGTTCACCTCAAATCCTGCTTGCTTTAGAGCTTCAAGACACTTTGAGGTCAACCTAATGTCGGGAAGCCCATCACCGAGCTCAATTTCTGCCTGTACATATGAATTTTAGTTTCCAAATTTAAAACCTTGAGAATGAATAAGTAATGTCAAATAAAATTCTTTCAATTCTTCTGCATCATACCTTTATTTTTTGGTGTTCTTGATTACTGGGGTCAAAGGCATCAGTCATGCACCACTCATACGCAGCAAAATATTGGCCTGGCTTCAACACTCTATAGATTTCTTTATAACATCCATACTAACCATATCAGGAAACAAAAAAATAGAAAGAGAAGAGAGTTAAACTAAAAATAAAAACAAAAGAAAGGAGTAAAAACATCAAACTTTGTTGAACATGATTAACTGCCACATACAGCATCCGGAGCATGGCAAGTAGCTTCAATTGCATATATTGCATCAAAAGAATTGTCTGGGAACGGCATTTTCATGAAGTCGGCCTGCATTATCAAAATATATCATCATATTATTAAAGAGTCCACTTTAACACAATTCACTGAAATATAAAAATTGAAATTCGAAACATCAACCTTGACAAAATTGCAAGTCTTATCCACTCCAGTTCTGCGATTGAGCTCCTGTAGACAAACGTGTTAGTAGGTATATAAGATTAATTATCAAGAACTATCATCTATAGACCACAGAATATGCAAATCTGCACGATTCCTTTATGAACAAGGAATATCACATTGTCAAACAAGTACCACAAGATTGTCATGAACGTGTGCTTAATGCTTTATCAGAAAATATAATTTCAGAAACATGGGATACAGATACTAAACCAATGTTCATAATTTATAACAAGTCATCAACTAGATTCAAGGATAGTACAAAAAGATCAAGATGACACTGCATACCTTTCCTCTGGTTATTTGATACTCATTGTTGTTCAATCCTATAATTGATGTCATGCTGCACAAATAGAGTAAAGCTTGTAACTGCAATTTTACTCGCGAAAAGGGAAGCTAGACATATTAGGATTACAACGCATTTACACCTTCCTCACTAATGTAAACTATCTCTATGACGAGAGATTCCAATTGAAGGAATATGAATATGGATATTGTTTTGGCATAAAGTAATTCTTCATCACGTATATTCTTTTCCAATAAATATGAAGTCATTTTATAGAGTTTATTGAATATATTCTCGTTATACCCCAAAAAGCAAGCTGAATAGAGAGGCGAATCAGAGTATAACCCAATTATGAAAACTGAATAAGCAATAACTATCAAAGAAAAAAAAATACAGGAAGATTAGCAAACCTGAATCGAGCAATTTCCCTCATAGGTCCCCCAATTCCACATCCAACGTCCAAAACCTAAATTTAACCAAAAAAAAAAAGAATTCTAAATTATTTTCTATGAAAAATATTTAATAATTTCTTTTAAGTTCTGCCATCAAATTATTATTCAATAATAATATGACAAATGTGGAATTTTACAAACAAGTGAATTGCTTTTACAGCTTATTGTTGCGACGTTAGGCTTTTTTTTTAATTCGGAAGTCTTTTTTTTATTTGTTGACCTGCAAAGACATCAGAAACAATGCTCAAGTCTAATCCAAAACAGAAAACCATATACAAGTAATGAATACAAACACCTTCTGTCCAGGCTTCAAACCAAGTTGTAAAGCAAGAAAGTGCTCATGTCGCTTGATGCTTTCTTGCAGAGATTCCCCTTTCCATCTTGATAACCAAGAAAATAGCAGTGTGAATTAGTAATAAAAAAAATTAAAATAATTGTACAATTTGTCCAAGAATGAGGCAAACGGACACCTGGGTGCAAAGTGGAAAGACTCCCCCCAGCCAAATTCATAAAAGCTGGTAACAAGATCGTAGTATTTATTAACCTGCAGGACACATAAAAATCTTAGTTTTTTGTTTTCTATATACAATCAAGTTGATTCTAACTAAGATAAATCATAGAAAATTCCCAATTTCATAAAAGCACAGGTTATTAAGCTATAAGCTAATCATCCAAACCAGCCTTGCTTGATAACCAATGTAACTACTTAGGTGTCTATATATATATATATATTGTTTGAGTAAACTACCTGGATAGAAAAATAGTAATTTGGAAATTGTTTCAATGCCACATAATTTGAAAATCTTTCAAATTGCAGAAACCAAAAAAAAAAAAAAAAAGTATGTGACAATATTAAGACGAAGTTTATACTGAACTGTAAGCCAGAAGTTTAGCCTATTACAGATGTCAATAAAGCTTAATTGTAAATCAACTTGACAATGTGATGAGATGATAGGGTACTAGGTGATAAAACCGGCAAGGATATCTCAGTAACATTCACAAATAGTTTCAGCATGATCTTGGGGAAAAAAGGGATGATTGTAAATCCTGTAGATGTACATTTGTCATGGGGCACTCTAGAATCAGATAAAGTTTGACGTAGCTTATAGCATGTAGATGACACGAAGGTTAATTAGCGCAAGATATAGAGAAAACTTCAAAATGTTGATTGCTAAATACGAGTATCTCTAAGTTCTCACCATATCGGTGTAGTTGGCTTTTCTCTCTTCCAAATCACCTCCATAAGAAACGTGATACTTCTCATACCTGAAACATAACTTTGGAACTTCAGACCACGGAGAGCAGCAGTTAATACAACCAAATCTCAGGTATTTTAATACAGCAACACTTTTATTTACTTACATACATATATAATTTATATGGATCAATTTTCACAAGTAACCAAGTAACTAATGTAGTAAAATTTTCAATTTTCTCCGCATCACTCCTTTTTTTTTTTTTTTTGTAGTTGGTCAAGTAGTGAGGGGGGCACCCTGGGGGGGGGGATTTGGCCGTCTCCTTGTGCACAATTTAACCAGCCCACTTCTCCGTCTGGTCACCAGCACGGCATCTATGCTTGATCTAGCAGAGTCAACGAAATTCCTTTGGACCAAACCTTCTGGGTTTCACTAATCCTTGTTTAAACGAATCAAATTTAGATATTTAGTGAGTGCCAATTCAATCCCACATTGAGGAATTTTGGAATCACTATTCAAACAAACTAGGCCTAAATCACCCAATTTATTCTAATCACCAATTTCCCCAGTGGCTTGGCTAAGCGTAATCCAAACATTGACTATCAGGTGCAGTTGTGTGAAGGTGATAGTTCGGTACACTATGACGCAAGGATCACTATGATTCATTAAAATAGATATAAAGTAGTGGAATTTATTGGCAAATCCATTTTTGGCAAGTTTGTATCGGTTCTTTGAACCTATATAAAATAAACCATTTTAAGTCGTGTACCTATGTCGGTTCTTTTTACCCATTATTGGCACACCCAGTTCTAGTAGTGGGTAGTTAGGTGAGGCATGACATTTGACTTTCCGCTCAAAAAAAAAAAAAAGGAAGTAAAAACATCCACAAGCAGAATCATCTGGCAAATGCATTGAACAGGACACACAGACTGACAGCTAGTCGTTTTCCACAAGCCCAAAGAAGGCATCACGCATCAATCAGAAGCATATAGCATCAGGACCAGCATAACAGGATTTCCTACATTCTTCTTTTCTAAGATAATCAACGTTAATACGAATGCCACATTTTCCCCCCTGGATTATTATTTCCATCGATATAAGGCTAGAATGAAGTATAATCTACACTGGGAATCAGAGAGAAAACGAGACCCCCCACTAAGATACAAATTAAAACATCAATGCAAAAAACAAAAAAAACAAAAAAGAAACAAACAAACGAACAAAGAACTGTCATTGCAAGAAGCAAAACCGAGACTCGCAGCTTCAAATCAGAAAGATAATTGAGAATATATACTTGTCAACAGCAGACAGGACTTCGGCTTTCTCAATCTTTCCTCCGACACCATACGCCAGATCCAACGCGCCAGCTTTTGCCATCTCTAGCAGATTTCAGAACGAACTGTCAAAGATCTAAACAGTAAACACAACACCAAAAAGAAAAATCAGTAAAAAGTACAACCCACGAATTAAAATCATCAAAACAAACAAATCAAACCACCAAGAAAAAAGAAGAAGAAGTAAATGTACATGCAGAAGCAGAATGCATTGAAAACAAATTTGAGAAATGAGTTTAGAAGGAAATGCACTACAAAGGTGATGAAAAATGGAGTAAACCTGTAAAAGGAAACGATCTTCGCCGTCAAAGAATCGCGATGACAGAGAGAAAAAGGAAGCGGAAAAAGATGAAGGGAAATTAGGTAAAAGAGGAATCAGGAATTGAAAAGAAAAGCAAAACGAATTGTGTGTGATGTGAGCGAGCGTGAAGAAGTTTGGTTGCGTCGAAGAGTAGAGGCCACTTCCGTCCACGTTCCGAGTAAAGTAACAGTCGCGGTAGTGGGCCCCTCCATCTGTTTCAAAAACTAATTCATTTAATATTTTTTAGGAAAACATAATCTTGAGTATGCTCAAGTTTTGCTAGATATTTTTACACTTTTTTTTAATATTTTAAATTTTTATAATACTATTTATGAAAAAATTTAAAACGTTCCAAAAAAATATAGAAACTTATATTACTGCAAAAAAATGCAGAAAATTATAATAAAACTCAAACAAAATATAGGAATAGAGTTATGTTTTTCTTATCACTTTCTTCATTAAAAAATATTATTTTTTTAAAGTGTTTTCATTAAATAAACTATTTTATATTTTTTTAAGGTAAAATATTTTATTAAATAAAAATAAATATAAAAAATAAAATTAATTTAAAATTAAATAACTTATTTATTAAAAGTTAAATTTTGATTAAAAATACTTTATAACTTTTAATTGAAGGAGTTTTTATTAAAAAATATGATAAAATTTGGAGACACCTCTGTCGGTGGGCAAGGGATGTCGCTTTTTGTTTTATTTTTTATTTTCCTCCTTATTTTTCCTTTTATCACATCAAAAGTTTTTAATTGTTCAAATTTAATTTACCATAATAATCTACCATAAAATTATTATTATCATTTTATATAAAATATTATATTTTTAAAATATTTAGATGAAAATTTTAATAGTTCAAATTTATTTATATATTTATAATTAAAAATAAAATAATAATTTCACTAAATATTAAATTAAACCTGTTAAAATTTTGATTCAAGAGTGGTGAGAAAAAAAGAGGAAAATGGAAAATAATGAAAATGGAGACATCCCTCCCCATTTATTTTTCTGACCCTCAAATTTCCCCATGTTTTTCTTTATTATTGTAAGATCAAATATTGTCAAGATTTCAAATTTAATTGTTAATAATATTATTTTTATAATTTTATACAAAATATGTCATTAAAATATTATAGTTTTAAAATATTTATATTAAATTTTAATAATTTAAATTTATTTATATATTTTATTTAAAATTAAAATAATAATTTATTAAATATTAAATTTAAATTGTTAAAATTTTGATTTTATGATGATGAGAAGAAAAGATGGAAAAAAGAAAGTGAAAAAAAAAAAAGACCATTTATCTCCCTATCCCGAGATCTACGCGTGATTAATCTTGAAAAATATTGCAGCTTTCGAAGAAGAACGAGCTTTCTCATGACCTGTCGATGTTGTCCTTTCAGTGAATCACATTTTCAATATTTTATTTCCCACAATGTTAAATAATTTTCTCTGGTGAAGCCTGGAGAATTTGGATTTGGATTCTCCATGCTTTGTAGGGGGGAAACACGATAAAATAAAGCGAAAAATGAGGTTAAAAACATAACTCAGAAAAAGAACTTAGCATTGTCTTTTAAATTTAAATACAAAGTCAGGGGAAAACAAAAAAAAAATTAAGTCAAGTTATGCTAGAGAGTTAAAATACAATTTTATTCTTAAATTTTTTTTCAAGGAGCAATTTTGCTCCTATATTGATACACATGTGAAATAATTTTATTTTTAAACTTTTTTTTAGGAGCAAAAAACTGTTTCTACAAAGTACCTAGCACTCCTCAAAAAAATAATTTAAAAATAAAATTGTCACATTTATTAGTACAAAAGTAAAATTATTCTTGAAGAAAAATTCAAAATTAAAAATGTATTTTAACCCTAAAACAAATCTCAAGAAGATTTTTGGAAGAACCTGCATTGCAGAACATGAAAGAAAATATATAGTACAGTAACAAAAAGGTATCAAATATATATAAATATATATTAAAAACATCATTGTTATATTAATGGCATATCATCTTCATGGGACCTTAACAAAATTGACAAGTGGTCCGGTCTTTTCAGGCCTCTTACATTCTAAGATCAAGTTTGGAAGAAATGAGCTGTAGGTTGTCCAGATTTCTTGAAGTACAAGAAGACATTTATTTATTATTTCAGTATTTTTTTAATTATTGAAATGAAGAGGAGATATGATTTGGTACTTTGGTGAATAATAACATGGCATTGTTTTTTAAATACAATTTTACGTAAAAAACCTTGCCAAAAAAAAAAGAAAAAAGTAGTCAAGCTCTATCTAAGTTTAAAAATATTTTTCAAAATTGGTGATTTTGAGAATGCTGTTGGTTTTATCTTGAGCTAGACAATCGGTACAATTATTTCTTCTTTAAACACGTGATTAAAGGGGATCATCCAATTTTTAATTACAAAAGCCCCGACATTGTTGAGAATTTCATAAACAAGGTTTTCATAGGAAAAGTTATGTCGAGAAAGCGTTAAAGATTGAAGATAATCAGAGAATAAAACAACTTTAGCAAGCTCACTGCAGAGATTATGGCCTTCAGAGTACCCAAAAGTTTTAATCCCTTTATCTCCATATATAAAAAGAATTTTAAAATTTTTTTTATTTTTAAATATAAGAAGTTGTTAGTATATTTTGTAATGAATAGATTATTATATCCTTATTAAATTAAAAAGAGAAAAAGATAAGTACTTTTATAAATTTACTTTAAAAAAAGAAATATATTTTTTTATTCACAATAATTACGGGCAAAATTAAAAAATTGCTATGCTTTTAATTAGATAATCAACTTTTATTGATTTACATAATTCAATTAAAAACATTTTATATAGAGTATATTAATGCTTTGATGGTAATTAAAATATTTGGAGAAGCCTCGGGCTCAATTATCCTGATAATCAGGGATAAAACCACCACAAGCGCAGCACTATAAGCGAGAACCTGCATTGTAGAACATGAAAGAAAATATATAGTACAATGGAGAAAGATGTCAAATGTGGAAGATGAGTTGCAGATTTTTCACTATGTTACTTCTCTCAAATGTACTTGTGAATGAGCTCTTCATCCCAATTTCTCTTAAAATAAGCTCTTATAATAATTGTCAATTATTGAATTATATAATGAAAAAAATTTATATAATTAGCTTTATATATTTAATGTATTTGTTTCCAAATAAATCAAAGTATGTATGTATATATATATATATATATGAATCTTTTATAGGTTATTTATTCTATAATAAACCCATACTTTTAACATATTAAGATCAACTTGTTATGATTTGATTAGGCATGAGTATATTAAGTATTTAAGTTTACATACATATAAGTCTTGCCCTTATATAATTACCATACAGCATTGTGTTATATATATATATATATATATATACTCCCTTCATTAAAAAATGTAAGGCATTTCTAATTGAATCTCACTTTTTAATAAAGTAGTTATCTGTTTTTAAATTAACCCTATCTTTTCATATTGACTCCTATTAAACACATTATAATATATATAAAATTATTCATTAATAAGGACACTTTTGAAAAAACAACAATGATTACACTTCAAAAAACTAAAAATACCTCATATTTTTTAATATCTAACTCCTCAAAAATATTTTATATTTTTTAACAGAGGGATTAAAAACATCATTGTTATATTAATGGCGTATCATCTTCAAGGGACCTTAAGAAAATTGACAAGTGGTCCAATCTTTTTAGACCTCTTAAACTCTAAGAGCAAGTTTGAAGAAAAATAAGCTCTAGGCTATCCAGGTTTATTAAAGTATAAAAAGACATTTATTTATTATTTTATTTTTATTTTTATAGATTATATATTCTATAATAAACCTATATTATTACTTTTTTTAAAATATTAAGATTTACTTGTTATGATTTGATTAGGCATAAGCATGTTAAGTGTATAAGTTTACATACATATAAGTCTTGCCATTATATAATTACCATACAACATTGTGTTATATATATATATATATATATATATTCCCTCCATTAAAAAATGTAAGGCATTTTTAATTGAATCTTAATTTTTAATAAAGTAGTTATCTATTTTCAAACTAACCCTATCTTTTTATATTTACCTATATTAAACACTTGACATTAAATATAAAATCATTCATTAGTAAGAACACTTTTAAAAAAAATGACAATGATTACATTTTAAAAGATAAAAAATACCTTATATTTTTTAACATCCAACTCCTTAAAAAATATTTTATATTTTTTAATGAAAGAATTAAAAACATCATTGTTATATTAATGGCATATCATCTTCAAGGGACCTTAACAAAATTGACAAGTGGCCCAGTCTTTTTAGACCTCTTAAACTCTAAGATCAAGTTTGAAGAAAAAAATAGCTCTAGGCTATTCAGATTTATTAAAGTATACAAAGACATTTATTTGTTATTTCAATTTTTCTTAATTATTGAAATGAAGGGGGGATACGATTTGGTACTTTGGTGAATAAGAACATAGCATTGTATTTTAAATACAAGGATTCGGAAAAATCCTTGCAAAAGAAAAAAAAAAAAGCAAGCCATATCAAAGTTTAAAAAGATTCTTCTAAAATGGTGATTTTAAGAATGTCATTAGTTGTATTTTGAACTAGACAATTAGTACAATCATTTACTTCTTTGAACATGTGATCGAAGATTATTATTCAATTTTTAATTACAAAATCCTTGATGACATTGAGAGCTTTATAAAAGGGGGCGTTCATTGAAAAAATTATGTTGGATAAGCATTAAAACTTTAAGATAATCAAAGTATGTATTGACTTTTGCAAATTTGTTGCAAAGATTAAGGCCTTCAAAATGGCCAAAAACTCTGCATCATTGCTCGGGTGATAATCAAGACATTTGAAGAAATCTTTAGGCCAATTAGCTTGGATGATTTGTAGATAACAACATGAAAAAAAAAATTGGTAAAAAGTGACTCAACAATCAAATAATGTTTGGGTTGATGGAAATGAAATATTAAAAATAAAACAAATGTTATAAAAAAAAGTAGAACAAATGTTTGTTTGTTATAAAAAAAATTAATTTGTAATTGATCCTAAGTAAGGTTCATATAAATTTAAAAAATAGAAAGGATATTTTTTTTAAAATATCATGTTGATCCCTTCCTCATAAAGAAGTGGATCCTACACAAATGCATTTCTCACACGGCACACACCACACCCACAAGATTTTTTGTTCCCCCCTTTTTTCTGCCTGAATTTTTTTTTTGGTTCCCATTTAATCATGTGGAAGTTTGATTCTTTAATCTTTTGCATCAAGAAGTATGGTTACAAGAATGGGTACTGATAAACCAAAAGATTATTAGCAAAAAAAAGAGCATTGTATTTAAAATGAAAGAGAAATAGAATCAATGCATTTCACTTTGAAAATTATAACTAATTTTTTAAACCTGCTATGTTTAGAATTACTCTCTCTGTTAAAAAATGTAAAGCATTTTATGAGGGGTTAGATGTTAAAAAATATAAGACATTTTTAATCTTTCAATGTATAATCATTGGCTTTTTTCTCTCTCAAAAGTATCCCTATTGAATAAATCACTTTATATTTATTTTAGGATGAAATACCATATTAAATAAGAGTAGATATAAAAATATAAGGTTAATTTAGAAATAAGTAACCACTTTTTTTTATGGTGAAATTTAATTAAAAATGCCTTACATTTTTTAACGGAGAAAGTATATAGTAATAATCATAAGTAAGGATGGAAATAGGCAAGGCTCCCGATACATCTTGGCTAAGGGTGTTCAAAACCAATCAAAATCGAAAGGATCGATACAAACCAACCCAAACCAAAAGAAATCGATCAAAACTGAACAACAATAAAGCCTGCTTTGGTTTTTATAATATGAGAATCGATTGGTTTGGTTCAAGTTTGATTTTGAGTATAAGAAACCGAACCAAACCGAGCCAAACTTAATTAAAAAATATTACTTATTTATTTATTAAATATATAACCATTTATCTACAAGAAGCATTTTATTTTAAATTTTTTATAGTAATGGATAAACATTTTTAAAGGACTTGAATGGAAATGCATAATATTAAATAATTATAACAATGATGCTATGACCATCATTTAATTATTTACAATTTGCAAGTCTCAGTATTCAATTTATCTAAAAGAAGCATTTTATTTTAAATTTTATATAATAATTTTTTCATTATTTATTAAAATATAGATACATAGATAAACATTTTCAAAGGACTTGAATGAAAATGTATAATATTAAATAATTTTAATCTAAAAAACTTATATCAATTTTTATGATTAATTATCATTATCACATTGAAATTTTATTATATTTTTATACCTCTATTTATGAAAAAATGGAACAAAAAAGAATTAGATTTAATTTTAATACATAGCACCATTATGAAGATGGAAAAAAGAAAAAAAAATTAAATAAGTGCATTGAAACCCGATTTAGACCTTAACCAAACCAAACCAAATCGAAAATTAAACCAAACCAAATCGAACTCCATAAAACCGATCAGGTCCCAATTATGAGTAAACCAAATGGTTTGGTTCGATTTGATTTTTAGCCAAAACCAAACCAAACCAAACCGAGCCTATGAACACCATTCTTGACCTACTTTAGGCTGGCCTAGCTTATTTACTATAGGCTCAGGCCAGGTTTAGGCATTTAATTAAGTTTATTTAACTAAATAGGCTAAGTTTATTTCTTCAAGGCTTAGCTTATGAGCTCTACAGGCCGACCTATTTACACACACATATTATGTAATATATCACACACATCAATTTCGTCTTTTAATTTTTAATGAATCTATTCTTTTTATTTTTAATTATATTTTCAATTGGATTGAATTTATATATTAATTTTAATATTATTACTTTATTGTTGTAATGTATTGTAGTTAGTAAGTCTTTGTAATTATTATATATTGTAATTAATAAATCAAGTTATATATTGTATACTAATAGTTATAAAATATATTTGAAACGTTGAAAACTAAAATGTAAGCTTATTTAAAATGTTTACTTTTAAGTAGGCTTTTAGGCCAGGCCAGGCCTTAGGTAGGCTCAAGCCCGAGCCATGAAAAAAACTTTACACAAGCTTTAGGTTAGACTCAAGCTTTTCACTTACCATACAGACTTATGTCCATTTGGCCAAAGCTTAACTTGGCCTAGTTTATTTCCATCCCTACAAGGACCTGACAGATTAACTCTTACCACAATTTCCACAAGATCAACATTCCCTCTTGGTATATTTGTTTCAAACATTATTAAAATACTCAATTATAAATTTTAATCTTAATTCAAACTCCTAGGTTATTACATTTTACATGTGCAAATATATGAAAGAAAATTACATTTTATTAAAGATCAATTGCATATTGTGAAAGACAAGTTGCATATGTTTTTAAAAGAATCCATAAGGGAAATTAGCAAGAAATATTCAAATATGAATAAATAATATTCAAATATGTGAAGGAAAATTGTATTTCATTGAAAATCAATCGCATATCTCGGAGACAGGTTGCATATGCTTTCGAAGATATTTATAAAAAAAATTAGTAAGAGATATTCAAATAATATGTACAAGTAATATTTGAATACATGAAAAAAAAATTACATTTCATTAAAAATCAATCGCATATAGTGCAAAAAAAAATTGCATATCTTTCATTGAAGATAATTTGCATATATCATAAAAGAAACATTGTATATGACATATTGACACTAAAGCACCTCATGCTTCAAGACTTAATAAATTGACACCAAAAAACCTTATTTCACATGTTGACACCAAAAAACCTTATGTTACATATTGACGTTTAATAATTGATGATGAAAGACCTGTGACATATTAACAACCAAGAATCTTGTATAACATATTAACAACAAAAAACCTTACTCAATTTTTATTTTTTGTTTTTTTAGGCCCTTTACAGCATTTAACCTTTAATAATTATTGACAGCAAAGGACTTTTTTTTCAAAACAATCCCAAGTCCTTCTTAGCAGTTAGATTTCCGTTGAATTTTTTATTATAGCAATTTTCCCTTTTTCACTTTAAAAAAATAAAAAATACAAAATACAAAATCTGTACCGTCAAATTTAGTAAGCGGATGCGGAGGAGGGTTCCTCCTTAGGCCCCGTTTGGTTGGGGGGGAGGGGAGGGCCCCTCATTTTTGGTTAAGAGGAGGGGAGCCCCTCCCCTCCCCTCCCCTCATTTGGTTAGGAGGTCCTTCCCCTCCCCTCCAAAGCCTCTCCCCAATTTGGGGGAGCTCTCCTCTCCTCCCTTCCCCCTCCTCCCCCTCACCTCCCTTTTCCTCCCCTTCCCTCCCCTCGAACCAAACATACTTTTAGGAAGTCAATGCCGAACAAGGGAAAAAAAAAAGCGCACTGAGACAACTCAAACCTAATTGTCTCTCAAATATTTTGGGGGGTAAAAAAGCACTGAGTTTCACTGAGGACATTGAACAAACACCTTGCGTGTGCTCTCTTTCCCATCGCAAAATCGAATCCTTCAAACAGACAATCGAAAAAAGGACCAATCAAAGAGGAAGAAAAGATTGATTGTAGCCCCACCTAGACTTTATCATCCGGCTTTGATTCTTCAGAAGAAGGGAAAGTGTCCACCACTGCCGAACCAAGCGACGCCTCATGGTTTTGTTGTTGTTGTTGATGATGTTGATGGTCAGCGTTCATGGCGTTCTGAAGGTCCCTCAATCTCGTCCTCACCACGCTGGTGACCAAAACTGCCACAAAAACGAGCATGAGAAAGTTTTCAAATCGAACAAAGAAACAAAATCGAAAGGCAGTTGAATCAGAGCGGGTACTCGCGGCGGTTCCGATGGTCCAGATCCATAGGATCTTCAAGCCAGGGCTCTTCTCTTTGGGCATGTAGACGAAGATCGAAGATAAGCTAGGTTGTGCCTGCAAAAGTGAATTTGTGAGAGGAATAAGCGAAAATGAAGAAATTTTGCAGAAGAAGAAGAAGAAGAAACCTGAAAAGCCAAAACCGGAAGGGATCGGAATGCGAAGGATTAGCATTAGGGTGAAGAGAAGGGAAGTTACTCCCCAGTTCAGTCTCGCAGTGTGAGTGACAGATGTCAGATCCATGACGGGGTGTGATTTCCTTTCGCTAGGTTAAATTATTTTTCACATCAAGTTAGTTTTTATTTTAAAGAAATATTTTCATCTCTATTTAAAGAAAAAATAATAATAAAATTTTTTTAAATTATATAAATAATAATTTAATGAATGAAATTTTTGGGATTCTCTTTGTTAATAACTTTTTTAGAAAAAAGATTATTTTATTCTTACTAAAAATAATAAAATTTAATCAAAACTTTTATTTAAGAAAATTATAATTTTTATTTTATAAATCATAAGAGTTGAATTAAAAATTATAATTTATCAAGTATAGTTTTTATTATTAAAAAATAAATCTCAATGATAACTTTTGTTTTAAAGAATATCAACTTTTGTTATGTGAATCACAATAGTTGAACAAAAAATCATAATTCATCAAATGTAATTTTTATTATTGAAAAATAAATTCTTAAAATAATAAACTTCATTAACAATTTTTATTTAAAGAATTAAATTTTTTTAAAAAAAATTACAAGAATTAAACAAAAAATTATAATTTGTTAATAAAGTTAAAATAATTTTTTTGAAAAAAGTTATTAAAAAAAAATCTCTAGAGACTTTATTAATATTATGACATTTTAAAAAATTAAATTATTATTTACATAATTGAGAGAGATTTTATTATTTTTATATTTTATTTAAATTTTTAAAGAAATCAAAATATAAATAAAAATTGATAATTTTGAGACGGGAAAATTACAATGAAATTCTAAACAAAAAAATTAATTCCTTTTTTAATTTATTTTGCAGTCAAATTTCAACGTTTACATGTTAAAGCTCAATATTTATAAAAAGACAGAATTTGTAAGTAATTAATTTTTTTATCCTAGATCTATGTGCAATGTTCCCAAAACCTTTTGGGAAAATTATGTTAAATAGGTTTTAAAAATAAACCCATAAGATAGATAAAGGAAAATGGTTATAAAAATGTTAAGATATATGAGGATATTATGAAATTTAAAAGTCAGTAAATAATAAACCATGTTATAAAAAAATGAAGATACAAAAATAATATAAAATTAAAAAATATAAAAATAATATGTGATTTTTGTAAGGGTAACTGAATATAAAATAATTTTCATTTTATAAAATCTTTTTTTTCTGTTGTATAAAGAAAAAAAATCATTTTTCATAAAATCTCTAGACAACCTAAAAACTAAAGATGGTATTTGGGCCAAGCTCAACTAACCAATCCGAATTCTGAAATGCCCAAATAAATAATATTTTTAAAATATATAAAATATAATAAATATTAAATAATTATGTAAGTTTTATATTATTTTATACAAAATAACATATATTTGAGTGCACTATTATAGGTATTTTAAATAAATAAAAATATTTATATTTTCATATTTTTATTATTTTTAATTAATAAAATATCAAAAAATAATATTTAAAATATATTTTAATATTTATTTTTATATATTTTAAGACCCAATTATTTTTTAAAATTTTTTTGAGTCATATACATCATTTGAGTATCCAAAAAATATATTTTATATTTTTTACAAAATAAGATAATTAATTTTAAAAAAATTAAAATCAAAATAATTTTAAAAATAAAATTGGGACATGTACAAATTCCTACCTCTACTACTAGATCAACAAAATAAATAAAATAATATTTATAGATAATTAATTAGTTATCATCTACACCAGAGTTGATTAAAAATTAAGAATAAATTAAAGTAAATATCTCTTGTATGTAGGGTTAAATAAATAATTTTGAAAAAAATAACATTTTACTCATAATTAAATAATTTTGTTTTATATAATATAGTGATAACTATTTTTCTCTTATTCTTAAAAACAAAAAGTATAATTTACACAAAAGTTATTAAAAATTTTAAACTAATCAGGACAATATTTTTAAGTTAGTGGTTTAACCGTGATTGAATTAAGATCAACTTAATTATAATTAAAATAATTTAATTTAATTTAAATATTTATATATGATCATTATAAGAGCAATATTTAAAAAACTAAGATATTAATTTATAAGTAAAGAAAATATTCATGAATGAATTATACATAATATAACAAAACAATAATAGAGTTGCTTAAGTACAACGTTGATGAGTTATTATTTTTTATTTTATTTTTCTAATATTAAAATAATATGTTATGCTTAAAAAATTATTTAAAACTTAAAATTGGTTGCAAAAATAAAGAAAAATATTTTTAAAAAGTTTTAGATATTCGAGCTGACCAAATAAACTTAAAGATGTTTGGGCCAGGCTTGGTTATATGAACTTTTTAGAAAAAGTAGAATACTTTAAGTTCAATTTAAATAAATCTATCCTAAATTAAACTCAACTTAAATAAGTCTAACACATTCGAATTATTGGCTCTACTAAAAACTAATGATTGTTTAGGTTTAAATAAATGGGTTGTTAGCCTTTTTTTTTTTTGACCAAGCAAGGAATGGATTGTTATACTTGCCTTATGTAACATCCTGATTTTTAGATAATAAAAAAATTATGAAATTTAGATTTTATTGAGGATAAAAAATGATAATAATAGAAATTTATATTATTTGAGGTTATTCAAAAATAATAATATGGTTAGGCATTTAAATATAAATTAAAAATTTAAATTTAAAATCACATAAAAATATTTAGTTAAGATATAATTTTAAAATTTAGAATATATAAATAATTTTTTATGTGTGTGTTAGTAAAAAAAAAAAGAGAAAAGGTGGAAGGAACAAAAAAAAAAGAGGTGAAAGGTTGTTTTTTTTTTTAGGTCTCACATTGGTTAGATATGAGAAAAAAGAATGCCCCCTCATGTATAAAAGAGGAGGACACGCATCACTTGAGGCGGAAAAAAAAAAAAGCATTGAGCAATTTGTGAAAATTACAACTAATGACCCAAAAATTTTAATAATTAAATTTAAATCTATAATTTTTTTAATAATATAATTGTGGAACCCATAATCTCATTTTTAATTACAACATTGTGTTATATATATATATATATATATATTTTCTCCATTAAAAAATGTAAGACATTTTTAATTGAATCTCAGTTTTTAATAAAGTAGTTATCTATTTTCAAACTAACCCTATCTTTTTATATTTACCTATATTAAACACTTTACATTAAATATAAAATCATTTATTAATAAGGACACTTTTGAAAAAACGGCAATGATTACATTTTAAAAGATGAAAAATATCTTATATTTTTTAATATTCAACTCCTTAAAAGATGTTTCATATTTTTTAATGAAAGAATTAAAAACATCATTGTTATATTAATGGCGTATCATCTTCAAGGGACCTTAACAAAATTGACAAGTGGTCCAATCTTTTTAGACCTCTTAAACTCTAAGATCAAGTTTGAAGAAAAAAATAGCTCTAGGCTATTTGGATTTATTAAAGTATAAAAAGACATTTATTTGTTATTTCAATTTTTCTTAATTATTGAAATGAGGGGGGGATATGATTTGGTACTTTGGTGAATAAGAACATAGCATTGTATTTTAAATACAAGGATTCGGAAAAATCCTTGCAAAATAAAAAAAAAAAAGCAAGCCATATCAAAGTTTAAAAAGATTCTTCTAAAATGGTGATTTTAAGAATGTCATTAGTTGTATTTTGAACTAGACAATTAGTACAATCATTTACTTCTTTGAACATGTGGTCGAAGATGATTATTCAATTTTTAATTACAAAATCCTTGACGATATTGAGAGCTTTATAAGAGGGGGCGTTCATTGAAAAAGTTATGTTGGATAAGCATTAAAACTTTAAGATAATCAGAGTATGTATTGACTTTTGCAAATTTGTTGTAAAGATTAAGGCCTTCAAAATGGCCAAAAACCTCTACATCACTGCTAGGGTGATAATCAAGACATTTGAAGAAATCTTTAGGCCAATTAGCTTGGATGATTTGTAGATAACAACATGAAAAAAAAATTGTTCTCTGTCACGGGCTGAGAGTCTGGCGCAGCACACGGCGACCGTGCGACGTCCTGAAGGACCCCATAATCCTCAGGACAAGTCTTACCACATACGGATCACACTGGTTTCGCCCTGCCATGGGCTCATCAGGGAAGCGGCACTAGCCCCCAACCAGTTGTGTACTTAGTCCGAAGACTGAGGCAGAACGCACCCAATGCCAATGTCGTCCCCTTTACCCATATTGTGCGAGGCTAACCAGCGGATCGTTCATTACATTGGTCTTTACACGATCACGGAGATATCATCCGTGACATTCTCCCACACCCAATCTAGTACGCCCTCGTGCTAGGGGAGAAAGACTCCGCCCAAGGATCACACGTATAGTACTACCACAAACACATCAGCTTACTGCTGAATGGCCACCCGAGTTCTGCAATCTTCGGACCCACTCGCACCCGCGAGCCAACAGGAGTGGGGTCGACAACGGCCAACCTTCCCGCTCGAGTCCCCACTTTTGGACCCACATACTTGGAGGCCTTTCTGGAGCGGTGCCGAGGTTGACCAGTCCCAACGTGGGACCCCACAGGCACATGGTAGTAAAGTACGTCCTGCTCTGATACTACTCTGTCACGGGCTGAGAGTCTGGCGCAGCACACGACGCCCGTGTGGCGTCCTGAAGGACCCCATAATCCTCAGGACAAGCCTTACCACATACGGATCACATTGGTTTTGCCTTGCCATGGGCTCACCAGGGAGGCGGCACTAGCCCCTAACCAGTTGTGCACTCAGTCCGAAGACTGAGGCAGAACACCCCCAATGCCAATGTCGCCCCCTTTACCCATATTGTGCGAGGCTAAGCAGCGGATCGTTCATTATCTTGGTCTTTACACGGTCACGGAGATATCATCCGTGATATTCTCCCACACCCAATCTAGCACGCCCTCGTGCTAAGGGAGAAAGACTTCGCCCAAGGATTGCACGTACAGTACTGCCATAAACACATCAGCTTACTGCTGAATGGCCACTCGAGTCTTGCAATCTTCAGACCCACTCGTACCCACGAGCCAACAGGAGTGGGGTCGACAACGGCCAACCTTCCCGCCCGAGTCCCCACTTTTGAACCCACCTACTCGGAGGCCTTTCTGGAGCGGTGCCGAGGTCGACCAGTCCTAACGTGGGACCCCACAGGCACACGGCAGTAAAGTACGTCCTGCTCTTGAAACT